TCTTTCTCACTGACCCTTTACTTTACTAAGCATGATGTTCTTCACCAGGAACTGGTCCCTTCTTACAATGTGTTCGTATCATTTGTGACAATGTCTTTCCATCCTCACTTCTAAGGAGCATAACAGATCTGGTCACTCTCCTGCCAATCAATGATCTATCGAATACTCTTCATTAACACTGTGCTTCCTAGGCACCGATTCTTGCGGGCTCTTCCTTATTCGTGGTCTAGCTTTTGCGTGTAAAACTTTGGTGGTGTTGTGCCCTAGACTTCATTCCAACTCATTGCATTTCCAAGGCCATAAATCTTTACAGTAACTCATCTTTCTCCTGAGGAGTGGCTGGTGGATTCGAACTGCTGAGCTTGCGGCTAGCTGCCTGCTACGCCATCATGGCATCTTTGCAGGACTTTAGAGATAAAGAAAAGACTGAAGTGCTTTAAATCTTTCCCCAGCTAATATGTCTGTTTCAAACATTTACATCAGGAAAGTTTTTTGATAGCAAAGACAGACAGACAGTAACTACGAGATTCTTTGGAATGAGGACTTGCTTTTTGTTGGTTATAATTTAAATGTTCGAACCCTTAGGAAACTACCCAGTTTAAAAAGAAAAACAAAACATACCCAGAGTGACTTTGAGCTCTGAGTCTAGAGAGATAAAAACCAACATCTCTCAGTGGGAGAGAGACTCCCACTGACCCATCTGCACTTCCGCCCACACTGTTAACAGTTACTGAAAATACAACTTTTATTTTCTGTGCCACTCTGCTCTTTTGCTAAAAGGTGATCTCAGGGGACAGGCTGACAGAATGTCAGGGAGTTCTCTGTTCTCTACGTATTTGTCTGGCTTTTTAAAAAATAGGTTTTAAAATATGTCTTTGCATTCTGTTCCATCAAAATGAGACCAAAACATCAACAGATCAACAATTTCTTAAAAGCAAAAGTGAATGATAAGGGAGGAGGGCAGAAGAAAGGGAACAAACAGAACACAATGAGAATGCTAACATGTGATCACTGTAACTCATACCACTGAACAATTTGTGTGCAGGCTCTGTCAGATGGCAAACTAAATGGCTGTGTAAACTTTCACCCAAAACTCAAAAAAGAAAATACATCTTCAAAGATGGAACCACAAGTTCTTTTGAAGCTTTTATTGACAATTCAAGTACAAACGTAGAAATCGTTGTCAGGTATTTTTTTATAATTCACAGGTTTCATTTGTAGCCTTTTGATCTATTTAGATTTGGATACATGCTGAAAGAATACTGCTTATGATTCATGACCATATCTAGTGGTTGTTTTTTCTTTAAAATTTGTGAGAATTATCATTCTATCCAGGAAGAAAAAAAGATCACCACCAAGAAAGGAAAATACCACACTGGAACGCTAAAGAGCTCTAGAAACTTCTACAATGGCCTAAAACACCTGAGGCAAACAGCGAGTGTGTGTGTGTGTGTGTGTGTGTGTGTGTGCGCATGTATACTGCAAACTCAAGAAGTCACACGCCTCTGGAAGGAGGGAAGAGTTAAACCATCATTTTCAAACAAAGCTGTGATGTGAAACGCCGTGTGGGTCAAAGTCACAGTGAGGAACGGCACGGCAGGAGGTGTCGTTTGCTTAAAGTTGTATCTTGATTGGGTTCAAGATTCAGCACCTGATGCCGGCTGTTGGGCTGGGGTCTGGTCCTCCGCGTTTATGGGACATCACGTACAGACATGGGTTTCTCTATTCTTTCTCTAGGAGCTTTAGCCTTCCTGGCATGGGTGTGGCCCCCTATGGCCAGGTTCGGGTAGTGAGCTTTTCTGCCAGGAGAAGGCCCCTGAAGTCACAACATCCCACCTGGCCCACGTACAGCGTCTCTGGAGGGGAAAGGTAGAGCAGGAAGGACTGGTTTGCATAATTGAAAGAACAAGAAGGTAGGAGGGACAGACGCCCTAGGGACAAGACCCTAAAATTAGAAGTCCTGCCACAGAGTTCAGGGTACCCAGATTCCCTGAACCCAAATATACTCCAAGGGCTGAAGAGACTTATCAAATCTTCAGTTATATGGATGGTCTTTCTGCAAAGACGGGCAATTTAGTCCCAACTGAATTGTGCTTTTTATCCGCACACTGGGTGGTTGAAAATGCAGTTTGTTGCATCCAGTATGCACCTGCTTGATAGATTGTTGTTGTTAAGTGCCGTCAGTTCCAACCCATAGTGACCCTGTACAGGGTTTCCGAGGCTGTAAATCTTTACAGGAGCAGAAAGCCTCATCTTTCTCCCGCGGAGCAGCTGGTAGTTTCAAACAGCTGACCTTAAGGTTTGCAGCCTGATTCGTAAACACTACGCTACCAGAGCTCCTTGCTTGATATATTGCTGATGCTTAAAACCCAAAAAATGTTGGAAACTTGACCAACACTCTAATCCGTGTTACTGGAGGAAATGGTCCAGTGTGAATGTCCACTGGACGTATAGCGCCCCCTGGGGGTTGCAGATTGGAGGTACAGCATGGGCGTGCGGAAGCCACATACTCCCTTCTTAGGGACAGAAGTTGTTGTTAAGTGACCACTGGACTCACAGCCACCCTGTATAAGGTTTCTGGGGAGTAGCTGGTGAGTTTGAACCACTGACCGTGCGGTCGTGTGCTTATACCACAGTGTCACACCAGGGCTCCAGTGGACAGAAGTAGGCATGTTTTAAATCTGATCACTTTGGAAACACTACTTCTTAAAAGATTCAGATTCCCAATGCCATCTCCTCATAGATCTCTTGTCCATTAAGTTCACAGTGAGAGAGAGGCATTTGCTAATTACCCAAGTGGCAACATGAATATTTGAAAATCTGATCAGACAGTTTGTAACATTTTCAGGAAAGGAAATTTCTTTTTAAGATGGAAAATAATGAAGTAGGAGAGTACATAACATTCTGATTTCTTCCCTGTAATTTTGACATTCGACATTCAATTTGACTTTCATAGTTCCTCACTTAGTTGACAAGCTGATTTATGCATTCTAGTTCATCAGCGTAATTTATTAGGATCAAATTCACAGGGATAAGTAATTTGTTTGATTGTTGCATATGCTTCTTTGAGAATAGGTACACTCTGAAAACGTAAATGAGCTCATTTCTATTAAAGCATGCATATAAGAGGGGGCTTCCAAAAGTTCGTGGAAAAATTCTATTTTTCAACTCCATTTTCCCAAGAATTTTTAAAAGCCCCCTTGTAATTTTGAGAATTCACTGCAATCAGTCTTACAAGAGAACTAATCTCTCATCCCACAAAAACAAAAACAAAACAAAGAAAACCCCATTTTTTTTCCCCTGATGGTTTCTTCACAATATTTACTGTGCGTCAAAACCAGAGAAATGTCTGCGTGTGCTTTTCCAGTCTAGTTTCACGTCACTCAAGAACACCAATCTACACCAAACTCATGAATTGTACTTTAATCCGGGCGGGGTATGTGTGTGTTACTGAGGCTTGAAAGTACCAAGGGCTCTGCTCTTTTTGATGAGAGCTACTCCTGTGATTCTGTCTTTGCAGTCTGGGAAAGAACCTGAGATGTGTGTGCGTGTTTGAACAGAGAAATAGTAGCAGACAGTGGTTGTACACGGTGCATTTCAAACCCGGGTTGCTGGCAGTATGGCCGTTTGGCGCTAGACGTCAAACCAGTGGTCACCCATGCACGTGCGGTTCCATTCCAAGCTGCAGTTCCAACACCACTCGAACTTGCACTGGGGCTGGGGACACTTCATGTGCATGCATCCGCCTGTGGGAACCAGCAGAGAACACAGTGCTGTGGGAATTAGAGCACACACCTGGAAAACACTTTCTCACACCTAGCACACGCTTGTCTAGAAAGTGGAGTCTCTGGGAGGTGCCAATTATTCAGTTGTTTGACAAACTAAAGGGAGCATGGTGGCTGTTCAGTATAAGCGCTGGACTGTAAACTGCAAGGTTGGTGGTTTGAGCCTACCAGCTGCTCTGTGGGAGACAGATGAGGCTTTCTGCTCCTGCAAAGATTTTCAGCCTTGGAAACCTTATACAGGGTTGCTACGAGTTCAAATCAATGATTAGGCACTTGAAAACAACACACTAACTAAAAGGTTGGTGGTTTGAATACACCCAGAGGTGCTTTGGAAGAACGGCCTGGCCACCTGTTTCTGAAAGGTGATGTCTGCTTGGCATGCATGGAGTCTCCTAGATGACAACGAGCTTGGTTTTGGTAGTGAAGAAATCAATGTCTAAGTGAGTTGTTGTTGTTAAGTGCCGTTGAGTTGGATCTGACTCATAGCCACCCTGAATAGGGTTTCTGAGGAGTGGCTGGTGAGTTTGAACTGCTGAACTTAAGGTTTAAACCGAACTTGTGGTCCAGTGCCACAGCAGGGCTCTTAAGTGAATAATCACAAGCCATATTTGTGATTACAAGTATCCGAAAAAGGTCAGAAAGGATGATATGACGTTACGTCAGGGCTTTTGTTAAGAAATGATTAAGTGGAGGTCTGTAACTTTCACTGGGATGGCGCTAGATTTGTAAATCTGACTTGTGTTTCAGTCTACTGAAATAGAATTTGGAAACCTGCAATTCACGTTTCACATTGAGTTCATTCCTCATGATTTCATCTTAATAATTTAAATGTGTGTATATTTTTCCTTATGATTATTTTTTCCCCTATAATGTCTTTAGGGTTACTTGTCTGGCAAAATTCATAAAACAGGAGTTGGGGTAGCATAGAACTTCATTCTTCCTGACTTTACCTTAATAATTTAGAAGTCTATTTCCTTCCTGCAATTAATTTTTGTCATTTCTTTAGTGTTATTTGACTTGGTAAAATCTATAAACCAAGAGTAGGGCAGCAGGCTCCATCTTATAGGGAATAGGTTCCTCAGTGGCAGTTAGAGTTCATTTAAGGTGACAGAGTTGCCGCTGACGTGAGTTGGCGTTGGGTGGACTCTGACCGGCAGTGACCTTACATGTGACAGAATGACACGTCACCCATCCTGAGCCGTCCTCAGGATCACTACCATGATTGTAGAAGTTTCTGTACGAATCCATCTCATGGCCGAGTGTTCTCTCATTTACTAAACACAATTTCCTTTTTAGACATAGGTCTACTCTGACACAGTGCTCAAAAGGTAAGTGAGTCAAAGCTCAACTAACTAACATTTATTGATGTGCATAATGTTGTTGTTGTTGTTGTCAGGTGCCATTGAGTCGGAACCAACTCATAGCGACCCCACGCACAGCAGAATGAAACAATGTCCGATCCTGGGCCAATCTCACTACCACCGCCATACTTGATGCCATCTATGATGTCACCTGGCTGATCCATCTCGTTGGGGGTCTTCCTCTTTTTCTCTGACCCTCCACCTTACCCAGCATGACATCCTTCTCCAGCGACTGTTCTCTCCAGACAATGTGTCCAAAGTATGAGAGACAAATCTTAGCCATCTTGGCCTCCAAGGAGCACTCTGGTTGCACTTCTTCCAAAATAGATCTATTGGTTCTTTTGGTAGTCCATGGCACTTTCAGTATTCTCCTCCAACACCACAACTCAAAGGCATCAATTCTACGATCTTCCTTATTCACTGTCCAGCTTTCGCATCCATATGAGGTTATTGAAAATACCAGGGCTTGGGTCAGGCGCACCTTAGTCCTCAAGCTGACATCTTTGCTCTTCAATACTTTAAAAAGTTCCTGTGCAGCAGATTTGCCCAATGCAATACGTCATCTGATCTCTTGACTGCTGCTTCCGCGAGTGTTGATAGTTGATCCAAGAAGAATGAAGTCCTTGACAACCTCAATCTCTTCTCCATTGATAAGAATGCTGTTTATTGGTCCAGTGGTGAGGATTTTTGTTTTCTTTACATTGAGTTGTAATTCATATAGAAGGCTTTGCTCTTTGATCTTCATAAGTAAATGTTTCAAGTCCTCTTCACTTTCAGCAACCACATGGCCAAGCAAGTTGTTGGCGATGTGCATAATGCTAGGGTGTAAACAGGAGTCCCCATGTGGCGCCATGGTATAATCACTGGACTGTGAACTACAGCATCGGTGGTTCAAACCCACTTTGGAAACCCTATGCAGGGTCAAAATAAGTCAGAACGGACTCCATGGCCCTTAACACCATCATACAGGAGTCCTGGAATGGCTCTGTAGGGTAAGCAGTGGATCACAGGGTCTGTTTGAGCCTAGAGGTCGGCGGTTCAAACACACCTCAGAAACCCGACATAGGGTCACTAATAGAACCAACTCAACAGCACAGCCACCACCGTCAGAGGGTGTACAGATATTGGCACAGTGCTTAAGTGTTGGCTGCTAACTGAAAGGTTGTTGGCTGCTCCGAGGGAGAAAGGTGTGGCAGTCTGTTTCTGTCGCTGATGGCCTTGGAAACCCCACCGGGCAGTTCTGCTCTGCCCTAGAGGGTTCTATGAGCTGGAACTGACTTGGCAGCAAAGGGCCTGGTTTCTGGTTTATACGTATGTTATCCCACCCACTTCATCCGGTGTCACACCTTGGGAGATAGATACCCTTAGCAGCTTCAGAATTTTCTCTTTGTAATGGTGGAGATTTGGGATTCAAGCCTCACACTCATTCCCCTACAGAGCAGGGTCTGCAGCACCTATTTGGAGATTAGTCTGGGATTCCTCTTGTACTCTCACCTTCTCAATATAGTCACTATTTGCTCCTGGGGCTTGACAACAAGTCTTCAGGGAGGTCAAGAGGAAATTACCTGTATGATTCCTACAGAGATCTACATCGGACGTAATTTCCCAGCATATCCAGGCGAATTCTGGATATCCAATTTTTTTTTGCCCGAATTGTATATAAAATTGAATGTGCTCCATTATTCAATTTAACCAATTATCTTGGTAACTCATTTCTTTCTGGCCAAACTTCCCAAGCGCTTCAGCACAGCCTCACTTCTATTCTTAGAAATCAAGCAAAAGAACTTCCACTAATTTATGGACCTTCGTGAAGCTGCAACTTGAAGGCATCAGCTTTAGGAAAACTTTAAAAAATTGTTGTTGTTGTGAAGTGCTGATGAGTCAATTCAGACTTACAGCCACTCTGTACAGGGTTTCTGAGAGCAGCTGGTAGGCCTGAACCTCCAGCCTTGCAGTTCAAACTGACTTTTCCTACAGCATCACATCGGCACTCCTAAATACATTTTAAACCCCATATATTTATACTTCCTTTTGATTTATTGTAAAAATCAGCAGAAGGTTACAGATGCGTGGAACCTAAGGATGCTACTCATCAATGACACTTTTAATACTTTACACTTAGGATCACACAGTATTCAGCATGTACTTGTTGTGGTTGTTAAGTGCCGTGGAGTCGGTTCCAACTCATAGCAACCCAGTATGGGGGTTCTGAGGAACAATTTGAACCACTGACCTTCCTCTTCCTGAAACATGAAAAACATATGATGCTTACCGAGACTTGCTATGTTCTGAGTGCTTTTGGTAGATTAGCTCTCTTCCTTCTTGCATCACTTCTTTAAGGTATTCCACGATGAGAACCCCATTATGTAGAAGAGGACAGTAGACGTAGCAGAACCCAGATTCTAACTCAGGCAGTACGAGTCCAGAGTCTGTGTCTTTACCCTCTAGTGATGCAGCCACACGGACCTGCATAACACTTTATCAGATGGGTTTATCACAATATAAAGGATCTCTGGTAGCGTAGTGGTTATGAGTCGGGCTGCTAACCCCAAAGTCAGCAGTTCGAAACTATCAATCTTACCATGGGAGAAAGATGAGGCTTTCTGCTCCCATAAAGAATTACAGCATCGGAAACCCTATGCAGGGTCGCTATGAGTCAGAACCGACTCCACGGCACACCACCAGTATAAACAAGTTCCTTCCTTTCCTACTTGAGGACACTGATTATACGGAACAAGTCTGCATGATGAACGCATCAGTGTATTGATAACATTGAACATTTACAGGATTTCAGGCTTTCCTCAATATAAATGATTCTGTAATGCGCATTTTTTTAACCTCAAATGTGTGTGTGCGCGTGTATCTTTATTGCACGAGTATTTCAAATTATTTCTTAGGGTTAGATTTCCAGAAGCAAAATCATTGGGTCAGAGGATGTGAATATTAGAAATCTTAGATGTGCTAAAAAAGTGGTTTCTAATAACATTAGGTCAATTTGTGTGATTGTCATCTTTGAGGATTATCATTAAAAACACAATAATAAAAATTTAAAAAATTAACATCTTCAACGGTAATATAATGGTACCTCACTGTTTAATATGCATTTCGGAAGCACCAGTGAAGTGGAACTCTGGCCCATGCTTACTAACCATCACAGATACTCCCAGTGAAGGGTCTTTTCACATCCTTTCTCTGAAACCTGCAGTGCTCAATGCAAGACAACAGCAGCCCAGCTCGGGAGTGGAGCGGTAGTCAGCGTAGAAAAGTGCCTTCCTTCAACTGTGTTGATTCATGGGCACACACAGAGACCCCCGCCAACCCACTGCCTTTTCTTGGAGTCTGCCATATGCAAAGGAAGAAGAATGACTAACTGGGTACCTAGTTTTTTCCCCTGGGGAGACCACTGATCCCAGAGCTGGAGACTCAGCTGGCCTCAGTGGTCCTTGCTGTTCTGGGAATACCAGCATCTTTTGTTTGTCTTAATGGAGATGCTTCCAGAGGACAGTCCTAAGGGAAGAGAGACTGAGACCCTCTGACAAGACAGCTGGGTCTCAGCCCACAGTGAGGCTGCTCTTACCTGCTAAGATGTACTGAATGCTC